CTTCCCTTCCCTCCCCTTCCTTCCAAGAGGTCTGGCTCAGCCACGCAGGACCTGCCATCCCGGCTGCTTCCGGGTGCTGGGAGAGCTGCACCCGTCCTCCGCGCCGCCCTTGGCACGGGTCCCCCCAGAGGCCACGGTGGTGCAAACAGCAGCTGCCCTGTGGGTTGAGGCTCACCAGCCGGTTGCCACGCCTCCTTCGCTGCCAGCGTCAGCCCACAGAATCGGGCACCACATTTTTCTGGGGTAAATAAATAGGTGCGTCTTTCCGTTTGAAAATAAATCCTCAGAAAAAGGACAGCTAAATCTGTCATTTAAGTAGCTTAATAGGGCCATTTTTTCATAATTTTAACTTTGTTCCAAGGCTGGAAATAATTATACCTTGGGCAGCCAATTCTATTTAATATAGATCTCTCGGTGTGTAATTATTATGATTATTTCGCTGCTGCTGCAGTTTTATGATTCACCTTCTAAGACCCTAAATCCAGAGAGGAGGCTGGAACGCCAGCAGAAAGGAGCTGTGGTCAAATAAATGTGTTTTCCATCAAGGCCGTCTCAGATGCTTGCCCAGCTGAATTAAAACCCTCTTCGTTTGGGTGAAGGAACCTGAAGGCGCCAACCCAGCCCTTTGGCAGTTTTCACGTTGCCTCAAATTGCTCTCGGGCTGCTTCCCGCGGCTGCTGCCAAATCGCTCGCTGCTCTCCTCCGCTGCGTCAGAGCCGGCCGGGCCGGGCGTCAGAGATGATGGGCGCTGTGGTGCCGTCATGGGGAAGCCTCTGCGTCTCCCAGTGTTGGCTGGGAGCAGCCTTGGCGTCTCTGGGCGCCACCTCTGCCCTCCACGCGTGCCCTGTCCTGTTGGGGCCTCTCTGGCCAGCGTAGGGAGGGGGTGTCGTTAGTGGGTCGGCAGCACCAGCAGTTTGGACCGCTCAGGTCAGCGGCAGCCACCCTCCTCTGCATCTTGCTCAGGTCATCATGGGGGGAGGCCGGAAGTACATGTTCCCCAAGAACAGCAGCGACGTGGAGTACCCGGACGAGGAGAAGTACAGGGGGACCCGGCTGGACAACAGGGATCTGGTCCAGGAGTGGAGGAACGCGAAGCCTGAAGGCAAGGTGAGCTGGAAGTCGGCCAGCGGGCGATGCGGGGTCTGCTCACGAGGCGGTTGGCACACCTGCGCTAGGCCAGTTCCAGATCAGGTCCATCCTGGGGATCCGTTTGGTAGAAACTTCAGGAGCTCCCGCGTGCCAGGCTGCTGACTGCCTGCCGTCCTCTTCCTCAGGGACCCGAGTGGTGGGATGTTCCAGAAGAGCCCCCTTGAGGGTCCCCGGAATAATCATCTCAGGGGAGTCCCTCTTCCTCTCCCGTTGCCTCGGCGTGATGGTCCTGAGCCTCAACCCCCCTTTGTGGGCCTAAGGCAGGGCGGCCACAGCCGCCTTAGCTGCCCTCGGTGGGGGGCAGGGATCATGCTGCCAAAACCACGACTTCAGGCTGAGGCCCGCTTTCCCCTTCTCCCAGAATGCCCTTTATCTATGGAACCGGACAGCGCTGATGGAACTGGACCCAGAGAACGTTGATTACCTCTTGGGTGAGTCTGGGTGATGGGTGGGCGCTGCGAGGCTGGGGCGGGAGTCTCTGCTGGACTCTCACGGTTCTGGCCACCTTTTGCAGAGGCCGCCTAGAGCACCCCCAAGCCCTCTGGAAAGGTCTCGGTTGGCACGGCACACTTGGTCAGCCTTGTTACTGAACTTTTCCGAATACCAGATTTCCCTTGGGGGAGCGAAGAGCAACTCTCTCCAAAGTGATAACATAAGAATCTGGGCACGTAATTTGCCCTCCCACGTGGGCCTATTTATGGAAATTCAAAGCCTTTAGAAGCCGTCTTTCTTCCTCCCCCCTTTTCATTTAATGGTGGGGGGGATACAGATCTCTTCTGAGAAGCCAGCCAGCCTGCCCTTGGATTCTGCTTAATTAGCTGCTACAAGTCCCACTATCAGTGTGAGAATTCCCTCTTACGAGGAGGAGGGTGAGTCACGAGGAGGACGGAGGAGAAGCAGACCGTGGAGGAGTTGACTGGGAGCTCCAGAGAGGAGAAGGATGGGCAGTTGAGGGTCAGCATCTGAGCAAGGAGGAGGAAGGAGCAGGATGCCCAGAGTTCACAGGAGCTGTGCCAGCCAGAACATGGGCTTGCGTGCAGCTATACACACATACCATCACCAGGCCTGCGCCCTGGCAGGCCAGGAACATGCTGAAGAGCAGCAGCAGTTGGGCTCCTGGTGGCCAAGGCCGGGCTCCGGGCTCCAACGTCTTGGGCTGCCTGGGCTCGTATCTTCCAGGACAGGCGTAGCTGAGATCTCCCACATTCCTCCCTAGGTCTCTTTGAGCCGATCGACATGATGTATGAATTGAACAGGAACAATCAAACAGACCCCTCCTTGACCGAAATGGTGAGGGTGGCCATCGGGATTCTCCAGAAGAACCCCCTTGGGTTCTTCCTCCTGGTGGAAGGTGAGCGGCAGGAAGGGAGTGTGCTGGGGCAGGAAGGGGAGTGCAGCGAAGAGAGCGCCGGGGGACCCAGGCGGGACTTCACCCTTAACTGGCCTCGATTCTCCGAAGGTGGAAGGATCGACCACGGGCACCACGAGGGGAAGGCCAAGCAAGCTCTCCACGAGGCGGTCGAGATGGACCGAGCCATTGGCCAGGCCGGGATCCTGACGTCTTCCAAAGACACTCTGACGGTGGTGACCGCTGACCACTCCCACGTTTTCACATTTGGCGGCTACACACCCCGCGGCAATTCAATTTTTGGTAGGTGAAGTCTCAGTGACCTGACACCCACAACACGGCGTGAAAGTTTCAGCCCTTGGTCAGCGAAACGCCCCTTGGGCAGGGGAGGGTGCAGGGCCCGGTGGAGAGTCCAACGTGTTGGCCACTGGTCCTATAGCATCGAGCCCTCTAGCCCTGACCCAGGAGGGGCTGGGAAGTAAATTCTGGGCTCCTTTCCATCTTTGTTCTCTGCAAAAGTAGTGGGACACCGATCCCCATGGATCTTCTGCAGCCTCTTCTCCCGCATCTTCAAAGGCGCATTTGCGCCTCACCTGAGGTGCCCAGGAACAGTTGCCAAAGGGCCAGATTTCTAAAGCCGCACTTTGCAATTTTACCGACAGCCTAGGATCCTTCTTGGGGGAGACTGGGGGGACTCCAGAGACAACAGCCAGGACAAGATCCAGGGAAGTCCAGGTGCAGAAATGTAGGTCCAGGCTGGACCTTAAGAGAAACCCAGCCATGCAAAGAGACTAGAAGAGGCAAGAGGGGGTGGGCCTGACCTGCTCCCCTTTTTTTCTTGGGCTGCTCACATCTCGCCCGCGCTGATTTAGTGCCAGGGCTGATCCTTCAATGCTCACGTAGAGACAGGCCCCGAAGGGTTGCAGGAGACGCGGTTGGTGAAGACGGCTTCCTCTTTGTCTAGGGCTGGCCCCAATGCAAAGCGACGTGGATAAGAAACCATTCACTTCCATCCTCTACGGGAATGGACCGGGGTACAGGATGGTAGCTGGAGAGAGAGAGAACATCTCCGTGGTGAACTTCAGTGAGTGCCAGCCCACTCCCCATCGCTTCCCTTGAGACAAGCAGGGTCTCTTCCTTAGAGCAGAGGGGGTTCCACGGGGCTCCTGCCCAAACGGGCCTCTTTGCCGGGATTTCTCTCTGCTTCTGGAGAAGCCCTGGCCCAGCAACGGCACTCGGTCTCACGAAGAGCTCGCCAGGGCGCCCTTTTCCCTAAGTCAGCCTCCCCTGGCCACCATCCGAAGGGCCAGCGGGGACCGGCCCCACATCCTGCCTTCCTCCTGCACGTGGTAACGTCCTTGCTCCCCTCACTCCGCCTGGGTGCTCTCTTTCTCTCCGCAGCCGACACCAACTACCAGGCTCAGTCCGCCGTCCCGCTGCGCATGGAAACGCACGGAGGGGAGGACGTGGCTGTCTTCGCCAAGGGCCCCATGGCTCACCTCCTCCACGGCGTCCACGAGCAGAACTACATCCCGCACGTGATGGCCTATGCGGCCTGCATCGGCGAAAACAAGGAGCACTGTCGCTCAGGCGCACCATGCAGCCTCTCCGGGTCCCTCCCTCTGACCTCAACCATCTTCTCCGTCCTCCTGCTCCGAATTTTGTTTTAAAGGCTCAGCTCCTCGGACTGTCCAGATCGAGGCTCCGACCCGCTTTGAGGTTTCCGGCCTCAAACCTTCCTGGGGGGATTTCTAGCTTCATCGAGGAGGGGCCACACTGGACAGCTTCCCCAAGGAACTGCTTTGCTCTGGAACAGAACGGTCCTTGGCGCCAGGATCCGTGCCAGTCGGAGCCGCTGGGATCGCCCGGCTATTTTTCTCCCACCCCCTCCTAAAGGAAGAGAAGGGCTGGGCCCCGCTGGACCAGGAGAGTGTGGCGTGCCTGGCATTTTCCAAATCTTTTCTTACCTCGACAGACCTTGGGGCATCTCTGGCCTTGAAAGGTTCGCTCTATCCCCCAAACTCTTCCAAAGGTAGTTCCGAAGAGAAATGTGAGCCCAGCAATGGCACAACCACGTGCCCACCGTCCTCCTTGCCCACTCCGTGAGGGGTGAAACCTGCAGGCAACCCAATCTGCTCCAGGCCAGCAGCACCTTAATCTGACCCCCGAAGCGCAGAGGGATTTTCAACAGCTTCTCCGCTGAGGGATGTCACAGCATGTCCCAGGTAGGGGTGATTCAGGGCAGAACCACGAAGTCCATAAATTGCCAATACCCATAAAGAGGAGAGTTGTGCCTCTGGAAATGCGGTCACCCCATCAAGTCAGGGCAACAGGCAACAGCTGGAGGCAACAGCTGGAACGATACACCCCTCCCTAGCAGCATCAAACCCTTTCGCCCTTTTAGGTTCGGTCCCCAACAGCTAAGAGTCCCGGCTGTAGGATTAAACAGATGAAGTCTGAAAAATAGAAAAAAGTCTGCTGCGTGGGGGAAGAATAAAGGGAGTCGGCAAGGGGGCAGAGGCTGCTGTTTCTGAAGGAAAAACAAACTCTGATCCACGCATTGTAGTAAGCCAGGATAGGCCATGGCTTCAACGCTGTGTCTTTTGCGCACTGTGGGTTGTAAGGTACGGTTTGCAGATTAGCATGACGTACGAGCCCAGGCACTGTAGCTTATTCAGCAAACCCCGGTTAGAACAAACCATGGCTTAGCGGGAGCCCGTGAAAAGAAGCGAATGCAAACTCCGCCACGGGGATCCTTGGGGGAGGAAGTGAAAATACAACGGCCACGGTCCTACAGTTCACGTAGATCTATACGGAGGAGCCCGCTGGGAATTGTGCCCCTCCTGCTGCCAAAGGCTGGAGTTGGGAAGAAGATTCAGGAGAGGAGAACAGGAGGGGGCAACTGCCCTCCACACCGGGGTACACCATTTGGGGCTTTCTCATCTACAAAAAAGGGGGCCTAGATGAACATGTGTACAATTAGATAGGTATTCGCAGTGGACGTCCACCTGGTGGTCTGACCCGCTCTGGCCCCTCTGGGGTCCCCATCACCTTGAGCAATCCCTCCTCCTTTTTTTCATCCTCACTGCCTTTTCACCTCCCTGGTGATTAACTCCACGGGATTCATTCCCACAAGACGGGAGGGTTCCTGCGCGACGGAAAGCCCTTCTCTCCCTGTCTGGAAGCCACGAGAGGCGGACGAACGTTCGGAGGGAGAAGAGGTGGAAAGGCCGGTCCCCCGGGCCATCTCCGGGTGCGTCTGGTGGCCACAGAGCCCAACGCTGGGCTCAAATCATCTTGGGCGGACTCCAGCCGGGGTTCTCACAGCCCTTTGGGCCTCCCTCTCCAGTCCGGGGGGGCAAGAAGCAAACGGAGCCGGTGGGCCTCAGCACCATCTCTGCCCTCCACTTTGAAGGGATCTTAACCCCTTCGAGCTACTTCAGCAGGGCAAAGCTTTAAGAGCACAGAGACATTTTGTCCTCCAGGAAGAGAAAGAATGAGACAAGCTGCTTCTTCATCTTGGGGTGGATGAAGGCTTCTCTGCCAAAGAAAAGGCGCATTGACTGACCTGCAGGAACGCTGGCACCAGCCCACCTTGCGGGAGAGATCGGCTGGAGCTGCTCTTTGTTTAAGGGGAAAAAAAAAAAAATCAGAGTCCCTAAATTGATTTTTTTTCCTTTGTTTGCATAACTTTTTAAAAATTGAAATAAGGAGAGGGAGGAATTTAAAAATAAAACTATTTTGGACCGGCTGAAGAACTGGCTGTTTTGAAGGAAATGGGCACTTCCCGGGGCATAGCGGGCGTCCAGAGCCACAGGTCTGATCTGGGGAACAGCTGGGCAGAAAGCGCAGGGGCTGGAAAGCCGTTTGCCGGGAACCACAAGGGTTCTTGCGCGGAAACTGGCATCTGGGGCTTAGCGATCCGGAGCTTTTGAGAGCCGCTCCTCCCTCCGCTCAGTTGCGCCATCCGGTTCAGGATATTGGATCGGGCCCCGACCTTCCAGCCCCGTTCACAGGTTTCAAATTAGCGCCAGAGGCTTGGAAGGGCGCACCGTTTTTCCCCACTGCCTCTCGCACTCTCCTCCTCCCAAGCCTCACGTGCGTGTCTCACTGCAGGCAGGTCTATTAATGATCTCACCAACCCGGGCAGGGGAACCAGACACGCTCCACAAGAAACCCCACCCTTGGCTGCTCCACCTGACTGCCCTCCTGGAGGGCTGATGGACTGCAAAGGGGCTTCGGGGGGCTCTAATTGCCGGGTGTGTGCGCAGCGGCGGCAGCAGGGCGTGCAAGGCACGACTCCAGGGAGATTCGGGAGATTCAACGTTCGCCGTTAGAGGCTGGTGGCTTGCAGGTTACACCTCTCCAGTCAATCTGGGACCGACAGGGGGGGGGTACAGGAGCATTGCCTTGTTGGCCCCAGGACCCCCCCTTACTGGGGAAAAGGGGTGGGAAAAGCCCCCCTCTCTCTGGGGCCCCACAGAGCCGTTTGCCAGTGAGAGTCAACAACACTGGGCCAAACAGAGGAGTGTCTGATTTGGCACCTCAATAAATACATTTATTCCTATATTTATGGTTGGTGGTTTTTCCCTCCAAGTCCCACCGGTGCGACGCACAGAACAGTAGTCAGGAGGTGTCAGTAGCAGAAGCTGAGGAATAACAGGGCAGGCGCTCCGCAAACAAAAACCTGCACGTGGGGCAGCTCACGGCGGAGGGCAGCCCACGGGGCCTCGGACGCAGGCAGCTCCGGGCCCCCCTCGGCTCGGGGAAGCCCTCGGCCCAGCCACGAGGGTGCCCCAGGCCACCCTGGCTCGCCAGCCACGCCCGACGGCTGCATCTCAGAAGAGAAGCAAGGCTTCCTAATGGGTTGCCTGGAAGACATCTGCCCGCGCTCCTTCCCTCGGCACGCAGGGCCTGGTGGCCCAAGGAGGGGCCTCGGGGCTCGGAAACGCCAGGCACTGCCCCCTGGGAGGGGAGCCCCCCCCCCGCTCTGTGCAGCAGCGGGAAGGGGCTTCGAGCAGCCAAACGGGGCCGCAACCAAGAGCATCCTTCTCCTTCTGCAGAAGTTTGCTCGGGCTCCCGGCCGGGGGGGCCATTGGCAGCAGCTGCTGGCCGAGAGCCCCAGTGGAAAGTTCAGCGTCTCGGGAAGAGGCTCAGGAGCCCTGGCACCTCGGTCCAGCCGCCTGGGCGGGAGCCCCCAGGGAGCCCCTCGGCGGAAGGGACGGCGAGGCGGCCTCATCCGTCTCATCAAGAGGGGCTGAGAGACGCCTCCCCGCCAGATGCGGAAAAAGACGAAGCCCCGAGGAGCGTCTGGGGGCCCTTGGATTGGACGCGGAAGCTGTGCCTTCAGGAGCTTCTGCCCAAATCCGGTTTGGGGGTGATACAAAGAAAACAGAACCCCTCGGCTCCCCACACCCCCCAGGGGGTCTGACCAGGAACTGAGCATCTCCGGGGAGCCCCCGATGAGGAAAAATCCTGCAGCCGCAGAAGGGTTCCTTGCCACGCCCAGACCCCTTTGCAATGAGGCTCGATCTTTGCCTGCGAGGGTTCGGAGCAACGTCCGAGTCAGATTTTCGGAAGAAACGGCCGCAGAATCCCTTAATTCCAGGCCCTGCAGCCAGGCCCCCTTTCTTTAGCCATGGACTCGCGAGCAAACCCCAACGGGACCACCGGGCCACGCTCCAGCCACCTCCATCCCCTTGCTTCCCACTTGTGCCCATCTGCTCAGGCTGCAGGGGGTGGGCAACCTCGGAGAAAGCTCAGCTT